TGGATGAGGAGTTGCCTGGCCAGATTCTGGGCCACCAGCTCGTGGAGCGTGAGGCTGCCGGCGGGCATGCCTATTTCGGCGGTCCACACGTGGCCCCGCACCAGATCCATGGCGATCTGAAGGTATTTAATGGCCGAGTCGCGCTGGCCCGTGTTGACCAGATACAGGGCGTAGGTGTAGTAGATCCGGGAGATGGACTCGGCGGCCTCACGTTCCTGACCCTCGATTTTGTGGCACAGCGAGATAATGTGCTCGTTCAGGGCAACCACTGCGTATGCGTATTTCTGGCGATACGGCTCCAGCAGCTGCATGGTCTCGAAGAACAGGGCGAAGCACTGCTTGAGCCCGCGGTGCTTGTTCAGGCAAACGGCCAGTTCGGCATCCCTAAGTCGATCCACCATTGCGTAGAGCAACTCCGAGTCGTCCGAGAGTCGTTCCCGAATATTAAGGCTCTCGAAGAGAGCATTCTCCTTGGTGGCCAGGCAGTGCAGGAACTCGGGCAGCATGGTGCATCCCTTGCGACGCAACTCGTCCTCCAGGGCCTCGAAAACAGGACCCTTAATCCGGCGCGCCTCATCGTATGTCAGTGGGGTGATTCCCTCCCGAATGGACTCGCGATCGAAGTTGATCTCCCGAAAGTTTCGGTGCGGAAGATTTCGCTTCACCTGGCGCGTAATTCGCACCACCTCATTTTGCCAATGAGTTGACATGATCTGATTAGTGTTTTCCAAAGTGAATTGCTTTGTTGGGGTTTCAATTTTTTGTAGTGACAATTCTGGTAAGAAATAAATGTAGGAAGAGTAGAACAAAAGGGTTGACAGCTGGTTTTGTAAATCATAACAAGAGAAAAGCGAAATCAAGATTTCAATAAGACATTTGCATTATTTTAGCTACACATTTTAAATATAAATAAATTTGAAACTATTCCTATTCAAAATTAAGAAAACTACAAAAGTATCACTAATTTGTGTTTTATCAAAACTATCTGGCACTAAAATGTACCATATTTTTTGTTGACACTTGCATTAATTTTGTATCTGTTCTCATTTTGGTTTTTAAATTTACCACAACTATTCCCACTGGTTCAAAACTGTGCTAAGCGGCTGGAAAGTTTTGAGGAGACTGTTTTCCGTCTGAGTTGGCTGGAAACAGTGGCTGCAAAACTGTTTAGCAGTGGTTTAACGACTCCAAAACCAACACCTCTTGAGGTTTTTCCTTTCTACGGCTTCAGTTGATTGCACGCTTGCAGATAATGTGTTCGAGTGCTCCACTTGTAGTATATATTGGGTATAATGTCTGGTCGGTTTGGGACATTTAGCATTATTTTTAGATTGACAACAGTTCCACTGATTCATTGAATTGATCACTTCCTTTCCTTCACAGAAATCAAACAAAATTACGCAATGACCAGCGAGGACACGAGCTTTATTCCGGATCTTCCCAGCGGCGGACCATTAGCCGTTTATCGAAAGAGGGCTAATTTTGATTGGAAGCGACTCCGATTGATATTCGAAAAGGAGCAGGGATTGCGCATTAAGGTAAGTGAATCGGTTTCTCTTATAAAGTGAAGAGAAGAGGTCTTACATTGTTAAGCCTCTAGAGTCTATAAAGTGAATTGATTATTATTTTATTTTATTTTTACACTCATGACCCCCCTTTATTTGCAGTACAAAGTGTGGCGCCGTTTGGAGAATGACCCCCTCTTCGCCCACCCCTCCCGCACGCTGCCCATGGACGAGCAGAAGCGCCTGTGCGCCATGCAGGTGAATCGGATGAAGCACCTGGATCTGGTGCCCAAGGAGGTCGAGCAACTGAGCTTCTCGGCCAAGACCAAGTACTTGATGTACATCAACGAGGCGCTGGCCTGCTATTCACCCAGTTTGTCGGTGAAGATCGCCCTGGGCGTGGGCCTGTTTAACAATGCCATCCGTGCAATGGGCACCGAGAAGCACACGAAATATATCGAGGCGGCCTGGAATCGGGAAGTGATCACCTGTCTGGCCATCACGGAGCTATCGCATGGCAGCAATACGAAGAGCATTCGGACGACGGCCACCTATGATCCCAGTACCCAGGAGTTTGTGATCAATACACCGGACTTCGAGGCGGCCAAATGTTGGGTGGGAAATCTGGGTAAAACGGCCACGGTGGCCATGACTTTCGCCAATCTGTACACAGCGGATGGAGAAAATCACGGACTCCATGGCTTTTTGATTCCCGTTCGCGATCCCAAGACACTGCTCTCGTATCCGGGAGTCCTTGTGGGCGACATTGGTGAGAAGTGTGGCCTGAATGGTATCGACAATGGATTCGTGGTCTTTACCAACTACCGAATTCCCCGCGACAATCTCCTCAATCGCACCAGTGACGTAACGCCGGAGGGAGTGTACGAGAGTGTGTTTACTGAACCGGGAAAGGTCCTTGGAGCGGCACTCGAAAGCTTCTCCGCCGGACGCATTGGCATCATGCAGGAGTCGGCCAATACTCTTTGTAGTGCCGCTGTGATCGCAGTTCGCTATGCGGCTGTTCGCAAGCAATTTGGCCCCGAACGACAAGGCGAGGAGATGGCCATTTTGGAGTACCAACTGCATGTAAGTAAATTCTGGAGCAGTGCACTTAAAGTAGTTACTAAAAGAAATGAATCATTTAACTCTGCAAAATGTTCAAGCTTGAACAGGCAATAATATTATTACAACGATCTAGTAATTCTAAAAATTTAGAATTTTTAAAAACATGTATAAATTATTCTATAGAAACATTTAATGATTGTATGTCTTGTTAGGTATATAATTTAATTTTTTAATTTACAAATATCATAAATTAGTGAAAAGTCCAAGCTCATTTATGAAGCATATATTTTACATTACAAAACAGAGTAACAATTGAGATCAGTAAATATTTGAATTCTTAAACAAACTTCTGACTCTTCAATACTAATTTAAGTTCATTTTCTCCACAGCAATATCGCATTTTCCCCTACTTGGCTGCTGCCTGTGTTCAGAAAATCGCCACTGAAGAGCTGACAATCACTTATATGGAAATCATAGCCCGTTCCCAGGCGGATTCCAATGGTTTTGATATTTTGGTGAGTTGTCTTAGACTTTTTCCATTTTTAAATCTAATATAAATTATTGTTTAGACCCAGAATGCGGCGGAGATCCATGCGTTGATCTCCTCGTCGAAGCCTTTGATCACCTGGGCAGCTCGGGATGCCATTCAGGAAGCCCGTGAAGCCTGTGGAGGACATGGCTACCTGGCAGCGGCTAAACTCGGTCAAATGCGCACCGATCACGATCCCCTGTGCACCTACGAGGGCGATAACAATGTCCTGGGCCAACAGGCCTCCAATTGGCTACTGCGCCAGTGGAGTGCCACTCAGTTGGAGACGCCCATTGGTAGTGTGAAATTCCTGGAGAACCGAAAGGAGCTGCTGGCCCTCAACTACGCCTCTTTGGTGCAGAAGACTCCTATGTCCAGCTGGCAATGTGAGTGCTTTAGTTACGCAATCGGATATAAAATGAGAAGTCCTTCTACTTTTTTTTGAGTAACCACTTTATTTAGGGTGTTATAAAATGTAGAAAATTTTCATTCCACAAAATAGTAATATTTTTTGTTTTTAGGTCATATTTGTAGAATTTTTAATTTATAGAATTTATATAGAATTTATATAGAATTTATATAACTAAATAATTTGTTTCCTTGCAGTTTCTCTTAGGTGCTACGAGTGGCTCCTCTGCCACCTGATGGCCCAGACCACGGCTCAAATCGAGGGTCAATTGGCAGCGGGATGCAGTCGATTTGAGGCCAGGAACAACTCCCAAGTAGCCGGAGCCCGGGAACTATCGTTGGCTTATGCCGAGTACTATGCACTGACGCGCTATGTGGATCATGTTAGTAAGCTGCAAGTGGATGCCCCATATGCCTCGGTGCTCCGCTTGCTGTTCGATGTCTATGCCATGTGGTTGCTGGAGAAGCACATGACCACCTTCTATGTGGGTGGATTCGCGGCTGGACGGGATTTCTCGGCTGCAGTGCGTCACCTGCTGTTGGAAAGTTGCCTAAAACTAAAAGATCTGGCTGTGAGCATAGCGGATGCCATTTCGCCACCCGATTTCGCACTGAACTCGGTGATCGCCCGGGCAGATGGTCTGCTCTATGAGAATTTGCAAAACGAATTTATGACCAATGAGGGGGCCTTCCAGCGACCCTCCTGGTGGCGTGACGTCATCCTACCTCAGGCTCAGTCGAAACTTTGAGCATTCCCACCTAGTTTTCTCAGGAGACGAGGATGACGACCAGTGCCTGACTAGGAAATTTGAGCTTTTGGCTGGCGAAACAAAGCACACCAAGTTGAAATGTAATTATTGTTGCCTCATTTGGTAATCAGGTATTATGGCAAACCACATTCTCAGCAATCCTAGTTAACGTTTTCTATCATATACCAACTATAACAAACATTCGAGTATTTTAAGATCAAATCTGTTACTAGTTTACGTTTAAACGAGTTAAATAAAAGTATATAAAAGCGTGTTAAATAAACAATTAATCAACAAATGTATTTTAAATGGTTTTAACATTACATTTTCTTCGCAAACTGCACTGCAATTGCTGATATCTTTGTAAGACCCTTAAAAATATTGAATCATATAGAGTTTAGTTATTTGGGTTGGACATTGCTTTTAAAAAAGAAACCTAATTATTCTAAATTTTTAATAATAAACTGATGATTATTTTTGATTATTTAGAATCTACCTTTTGTTGATGGTAATAGCACCACAACCAACCCTATTCTTAAAGCTTTTTTACAAAGTAACGCTTTCCATAAAAAAAAGAAACGAAACTACTTTTTTTTATAATTATTCTGCCAGCGAACCTCCCTTTTATATTAAATCCCCGAGGCGAGTGATTCGGTAAGCGTTGCGACTCTCTAGTCGCTGTCATCGCAGTCGTCGTTCGAATCCACAGGTGTCGGATCGTTTATAAGAGGACCTGGACCCACCTGATCCGAGTCAGACGTTGCCCAGTTGTCGCCCTGTGAAGAAGATCGCGACGTACGAGAGAGAAACCGAATTCGAACCCGAGAACAAAAACCAAAAAACTGGTCAAGAAACGTAAAGAATCATAAACAAATCAAGTGAGTCGTGCTCACTGTGTTTCTGTATCTCTATCTGTGAACTGAGAACTCTTTTGGGAATACCCTATACAAACTATATAGAAAGACGGGAGAGGCTACTCCCGGCATTCTCGGCATTATAACATCGATAGTTTTGCCAATTTGTTGCGCAGTTTTGGTTCCGTATTTGGGAGTGTATGTGGCGCGGTACTAAGTGTTCAATGTTAGGCTGCCTTATCGCCGAGATTTTAACGATGCTGTATGAGAGAGCTCGAAACAGTTCGGTGATCATCAAAGTCAGGGACAAAATAAAAACAAAACGCGTTCGATCATCGGCAGTGCTCATCAGTCGAGTTCCTTTGTTTCAGCCGATCCGCGCAAAAAGTTGTTAATTATTAATATTTATATTTATTTATATAAAAAAGAATAAGAAGAAAATTCAGACCGGTTGCTTAGCACAAAAGTCATTCAATTAGAACAGCTCAATTGCTGAACACAAAAAAATCCCCCTGCTCTTAAAGGCAACTTGATAAACTTCTGTAAAAAATGACAAACAAAAGCGTTAACAAATTGGAATATAAATGGCGCACCAAAAAATATACACAGAAGGCGGGCGAAAGGGAAAAAATAAAACAAAATACTGAAACAAAAACATTCAATATCAATTTCTAAACTCTGAACAAATTAGTGAGAACCGGTTTGGTCATCTCTTTCCCCCTTTTGGCAGCCGAACAAACGAATTGAGTCAATAATAATATACAGAGTCATATGGGTATCCATTAATTTACATTTTGGGGTTTTCTGTTTTCAGTTTTCGATTTTCGATTTGGCTGGCCGTGCCTTCCTCCCCGTGATTTCTTTTCGCCAATTCATTATTGAAAAATCGTGTAAGGGCAATTAGTTGTGGGCTGGGCCAGTAAAATGTGTATGAAATGCCTGTAATTGCTGGCTTTGGGGTATTAGAACATCGTTGCTAGTTCAGCGGGGGTGCAGTGTGAAGCCAATGACCCTCTGAAAGGCATATCCGCATCCATCCAAGAATCGATTGAGGGGAGTGCATCCCCCGTGCATTTGCTCCCCGCTCAGATTACCGGCTTATGCAAGCGGATTTATGGATTCTCAGCCCTGGGGCCGGCTAATGACAATGGCTGCGAAAGTATCGGGAAACAATGAGCCAGCAGGCAGCAGTCATTAGCAGATGCTACTGGGCAAACTTCAGAGATCTGATCTTTCATAAGACAAAGTCATATTGCGATCCATGTATATCCATTTCCGCTATAGTCTTCCAAAACTCACATTAAATTGGGTCTAAAATATGCATCGCTGGGCACAAACAAGTTCTATTTACACTAATGCTAGAACCAGTTCTTAATGATTCCTTTGTTCTATTTTTTACACCAACAGCTTTAAACTCCAAACGAATTTTGCATACGCAGATGCCAGATAAATAAGATGTGGAAGTTTCTGCTTATTTGTGTGGTGATGAGTGCTCTGAATCAAGAATCATCCGGGGGTAAGTGAACTCCTAAATATGTTATTTCCTGAATTATTAGAACGATAATAAATATATATTTTGTGGAAGTTCTAGTTTTACAAACAACAAAAATATACAAAAAATGTAAAAACAATTTTTTGCTAAATTCTTAATGCACTTTTAAAATCATTTAGCAAGTAAATAATTTTTTTAATACCGTAGCTGAAGTTTTTTAAGGTCTTCTAAGTAAAGGATATCATTCTAAAATATTTTTAAAACGTGCTACAAATATTGTTTTATTAATTTTCAATTTCAGCTGACCGTGTGCCGCCCCGCAGGAGACGTGCGTACGCCGGAGGATATGCGGGAGGATATGCCAGCAGTGGAGGAGGAGCCGGTGGCTACACGGGATCCTACAACAGCGGCGGCGGAGGCGTGGGTCATAGTAGCTATGTGGGTACTGGTGGTGGAGGTGGTGGCTACTACGATTACGATGACGACTATGGTAACTCGCCCAACTTTGGCATCATCGATCCGTATCTTTTCCATCAGCAGCTGACGAACCACATCCTGGCCCAGAACTACGCCAACCAACAGTGAGCATTGAGCATCGATATTTTGTTGGGGTTGCTGGGTAGTCATACGGCGGGCTAAGGGTTAACCTAACGCTTCAATCCTATCTATTCTTGTAGAGCTATAACGGGTCTGGCCACGGCTGGCAATGCTTATGCATCTGCGGATGCCTCTCTAGTCGACGACAACGATGAGTAATTACCATTAGCTAGTGCTTAACTAATTCCGAAAATGTGGCTTTCTTAATTTACGATATGCTAATCTATGTTCCTCTTCTTCACAGTCGCATCCAGCAGCAGATTGCCGCCCAGCAGGCCTATCATGACAATTTGGTGCGCCAGAATCGCTATAGGGGTGGATCAGGATCCGGGTCTGGATCTTCCTATAACTCACATCGCTATGCACCCAGCTATGCCGCCGCCTCGGGATCCATTGGACCCAATGGCTATCGCCAAACGGCCTACATCAACCCAGCCAATCCGGTAAAGACATTCAACTGTAAATTTTAAGTAAAAATAATTGCAAATTGGATTAGAGAAAAATTATTATCTGATTACCAAATATAAAACCCTACGTTAATCATAAGTATTTGTTAGTGAACAGACTTTATCCATCATTTTGCTTCAGTAATAAACCCAATCAATTGGAAAAGTAAAAGTATTTTAAGTAAGTTTACCAAAATTGAACAATTTTCGAGAGTGTTGGCATTTACATAAAATAAATTTTGATATTTAGGAATAAAAAAACTTTACAACACTTTCAGGCACTTTTTGAATAACATATAAATAGCTGTAATGTATATATATATATATGTATATACTAATGTGCATTCTTTGAAAACCTGAAAATTAAATAACTATATTTAAGAAAAGAAATATCCATATAATAGAACATAGCTTTATGATTTGTACTTAATCAAATTTTCTTCTTTGCAGGCCTCCCCCAACATTGTGAACCGTTTTGGTGGCGGAAGCGGCGGCGGATCCTCATACTCCAGTTCCAGCAGCTCCGGTGGAGGCGGAGGAGGAGGTGGTGGTGGCTACAAGGGTGTCTCGGTGTCGTCCTACAGCCACAGCAACGGAGATGGAACCAGCCGACGTGGAGCCCAGACCACGGTCAACGACAACGGAAAGGTGACCTCGTACTCGGTGCACTCTTAGGGAGATCGGTGGAGACTTTCTTGTGGCTAGGCCAACATTTGCTACGGTCTGACAAAAGCAATCCAATCCCATTTAATGTGTATAAAAAAATATATATAAATATACGTGTATTTTATTGTAATCTCGCGGACTTTCTTATCGGTGGCGTTTCTAAAGCGAAGCTTTCTTTAATTAGAAAGTTTACCTCTCCATCGCTCGCATAGACATACAAAATATGTTAATTTTATATATTTATATTTCGACCTTGATTATGTCGTTGCTGCTGGCATAACCTTGTGTAGCATACAATTTTTGCAATTTATTAGGTATATAAATAAGTCGAGTATACGTAATTAAATACATTTTTGAATGACACTTTTAAAGATTATTTTTATTTATTTTGCTTTAATGTTTTCGTTTTTTATTGGATGGATGAGCGTATCAAAGGTGACAGGAAGTGATCTATCTCAAGTTGAAATTCTCAGTACATTTGATTCAATATAAAATGGCTAAACTTCAAGATCGTATTCTTTATTCGAGGTTGAGCGAAACCGGAGCTAAGATCTTTACAACTGTTTAAATTTTAAAGAAGTAAGAAAATCGAATCTTAATAATAATATAAACTACACTTACAGTAGTTTTGGTTCTTAAAATCTTGAATGCCAATCAATTTGTAATAATAAAACTCAAACAAATATTGTAATTAAGACTGTTTGAATCTATAACAAAGATTCTTTCATAAAATATTACTTTTTCCATTCAAATATTATTTTTAGTTGCTAGACCAAGTATTTTGATCACTGTTGTAAGTCTGCCGATCATATTAACCAGACCGGCGCAATTTTGTTTACAAAATTCATAGCTACATTATTTGTATAATTAGCCAAAACATCGGAAAGGGAAATTAGTACTTCCTGAATACGAATTAGAGCTCAAGGTTCTCTATATATTCCTTCATCTTGGTCACAATTTTTCTAAGTTCAATGTGAGCTCATTACAATCGTCTTCTACCTATAAACATGTTTTTGTATGTATAAGCAATCGCTGGAGAGATAATGCTCACAGTCGAACATGGCAACTATGTATATACCGATTCTCAAAAATGAACATAAAAATATTCTATATAGGGCGATGATGTCGAAATTAACTTTCATCACTCGGCTTTCTGCACCAATTGCGAGCTCCAATTCGAAGTGTACATATGTGGCGCTATCAGTTCCTCGGCCCACAGTGGCATCCTCTCTAGGTCAAGAATCAATCGGTTCAAGTCTGAGTTATATGTGCCCCTTATCAAATTTTCACCGATGTCTGAGGCTTTAAAGCGCGGCTCCGCTCGCCCGATTGCATTAGTGGAATTTCAACCGCGAGTGTCGAACGTTTTTCCGGAGAAAAGTAAAAAAAATGAATAAGTTGCTGATTTTGGCCCTTTGCTTGGGTGTGGTCTATGGAGGTAGAGAACCATTCCAAAATGAAATATATTTTTAAAAACTCCAAATGAAAGTAAAGTGTTTGTAGTTAGATCCTTTTTCTTGAGGCTGCCTATCAGCTCAGATCTAGTGAAACATTTTAAAAGTTAAATATTCTTTAAAATAACAAATGAAAAGTATATGGTGTGTACAGGATCCTTTTTCACGTGGCTGCTTATCAGCTACGATGAATTTGAGTTTAATCAACAGCATCGACGGAATTTCCCTGAATGAAATATTTACACAACACCTCGGGAAAATTGTGTAATATTCGGAAACTGTGGCGCGTGTGGCGATAAGAGTTTGTAAATTATATTGAAAGGTTTATTTTTCGTTTGAAAAACGAGAGATTTTCCACGAATGCATTACCAGTTAAATTATTTAAAATTTTAAAGATTGTGAATAATTAGTTTTCAATTTTAATTTGATGAATATATTTTTAAATATATGTATACAAATACATTTGTAACAAAATATTAGGAAAAAAAGTGTATAGATCCTATTCAACTTAGATTTAAATAAAAACTATTTATTGTTAATAAGCTCAAATAGTGTTTTTATAAGAGTCCTTAATTTACTTGACATACCATATATATTTATAATCATAGAAAATCTAATCAGTTTCAATTTTGTATCTTTGCAGATTTCCAGGAAAGGTAAATTGGATTAAAAATTCCTCACTCTTGATCTTAAATTATGTTCAAGTTTTCTATTCCACAATTTTTTTTTTAATATTTTAGACCCAAACGTGATAGTTTTCAGTCTCGGTAAGTGCCGTGTGGCAAATGTTGAAGATCTTTCTTTTTTTGATTAAAAAAAATGAAATTTCCCCCATTGGCTGACATGACACTTCAAAATTTAAATTAAATCGAAATTGAGTGGCTTAGAATATTTTTTTTTAAAATAACTGGGTAAAAAGCTTTCTAAAAACAATGTAAATTAATTTTATTTATGTGTTACATTATGTTTTGCAAGGAAGAAGTAAATGGATTTAAAAACGTATTTTGAAATTTGAAACTTTAAGAAACTTGATTTATTGATTTATTGATCTTAAAATTTAATTTATTGCGTGTAACACGATTTTTGATTTTAGAGATCGTTTTAAGCCCCAGTTTATATTTATCCTTTGTTGAATGTTTTGTATTAAGTTTATTGTTTTAATCTTTAGCCACAACAGTGCCCACCAGCAGGCGGTGGAACAGGCACGCAGAAACTCTGGCTACGGAAGCGGTGGCTACGGCAGTGGTGGTTATGGAGGTGGTGGCTTTGGAGGTGGATTCGGCGGAGCCTCTGGCCAGGTTGATGGCTCCTTGGGAAAACTGGAGAACTCCTACGACTCTGTGGGTGCGACTGAATCCGCCGAAGGAGCTGGTGGCTTAGGTGGTGCCGCTGAGACTGTGGGTGCTGGAGCTGGTGTTGGTGGTGCTGGAGTTGGAGTTGGTGGCGCAACTGGTGGTGGCTCCTTTGGCGTAAACAGTGGCTCCTCCTTTGGCTCTGGTTTTGGTACCCAGAACGCTGGCTCTTTCGGTACCCAGAACGCTGCCTCCTTTGGCTCCCAGAACGCTGCCTCCTTTGGTGCCCAGAATGCCGCCTCTTTCGGGTCCTCCTTCTCCACCAACGCCGCCTTCCAGTCCAGCGCCGCCTCCAACTTCGGCAGCACCGCCGCCCACCATGTGGGCAGCAATGTGGAGTTCGCCGAGAACGCCAATGCCGGCAACAAGGTCGACTTTGGTGCCTCCAACTCCGTGGACACCGTTGGCCGATTGGTCGCCGGAGTTCAAAGTGCCCCATCTACTTCCGAGTACTACAGGCAAGAGAAGGTCACGGTCGGAGCTCCACAGCAGGTGGTCTCTTACACAGTTCCCGGCTCCTCGCAGCGGTTTGTCCATCATGAGGAGCGGATTGTCGAGCAACCTCGCCCGGTAGTTGTGCAGACGCCAGTTGAAACCTCTCACTATTACTCACGAAAGGTGGTCACCACCGCCAGCGCACCGCAGGTGATGCAGCCATCCGCCAGCTTGACCTATGGATCGAACACCAATGCCGCCTCCACTTTCGGTGGCAATGCCGCCTCCACTTTCGGCAGCAATGCCGCCTCCACTTTTGGCAGCAACTCCGCTTTCAACACGCAATTCGGCAGCTCCTTTGGCCAGAACTCGGCCCTCAGCACTGGACTCGCCTCGGGAGTGAACTTCCAGCAGAACAGCCAACTCAATCAGCTGCTCAACCAGGCTCGTCAGGGCGCACTCCAGCAGGCGGGCTCCTCCGGCCTGTCCTCGGTCAACCAGGCGCAAGTGAACAGTGGCTACAACGCCGGCTCACATGCCGGGTACAACAACGCCTTTCGATCCGGCTTCGGCTTCAACTCCGCCACCGCCCAGAACTCTGCCCTGAACTCTGCCAGCTCCTTTAACTCCGGACTGTCGTCTGGATCCTTGCTGGGTGGCAGCCAAAGTGGATCCCTGCTCGGTGGCTCTTTGCTGGGAGGCCAGCAGAACTTCGGACTCGGACTCAGCGCGGGTCTCACAAACGGACAGCAGTTGGCCGGATCGAACAACTTTGGCGCCGGATTCGGAGCCGCAGCCGGTAATTCCGGCAGTGGCTACCAGACCAAGCAGTGGGAGAAACAGTCCAAGTGGTCTTCCCAGTCTGCGGTGAGTTGAGTCTCGATTTATATTTTCTAACAGAACAGATCATTTGAAATATACAACAAGAAATACCGAATTTATTATAGATTCTATATTGGTTTTTTTGTTGCAAAAATTAAAAAAATATTTTCTTAAATTCCAGTTCGATTCCGCTGGCCATGTGAACAACTACAAGGATCTGGCCACCGGCGAGAGCGAAAGTGTTGACATCAACGGCAAGAAGACCGGCTACCATGCGGCCACAGCCTCCGTCGATGACAACGGCAAGTTCGGCACCCACAGTGTTCACTCGTAAACGGCGACCCCGACACGCATCCAAAACTAGAAACCTTTCGTGTTCTTAGGGAGTAAATTTAATCAACTCCAAATGTTATTTGTAAAATAATGTGAAAGTAAAATGAATTGTTGTCAGGTTTCATCTTTTCTTTCACGATTTTGGGGTATGGAAAACTTCTAACTGCAAGCTTGCACATTTTAAATAGATAGATAAATCAAAATCTGTTGGAAACTCTTTAGAAATATATATTTTTATTACCAGGTCGACAAAATCTTTGAAAATATCAGGTGACTATCTTAGTAAAATTAATTTCAGCTCACTCATGGAATTTTATCGCTGGGCATTAAAGTGGCTGAACAGAAGTCTGAAATTGAAATCTACAGGTTAGATCTATTTAATATCATTAGCTTTGTTAGTCTTGTATGTTTTTTATTGTCTATTAGTGAAAAGATTAAAGATTTTAAAACGTTGTTCCTGAAAAGAAATGAAATAAATTAGCACAAATAAAAAACTAAAACGACACATTTATTGAAAGAAAAACCAATGGTAAATAGTTTAAACCTAGAACAGGAGAAGCTATAGTGCTATAAGGGGCTCAGGAGAATGGTTTCTCCAGTTTGCCGTCCACCACCTGGACGACACCGCTGTTGATGACCTCCTTATGCTGATCCCCCGGCTCCCTTCTGGCTTTGCTGTCCCGACGGCGCCTGAAATCCGCGGAGGACATGCAGTAGCAGGGCTTCCAGCGGGGTCGTCGGTAGATCTGACCCTGCTCCTGCGGCACCCGCTCCGTGGTCCAAACTGGGACGTAGTGCGTCCAAGTCTCTGCATTGCCGTTCCTGTAGATGCTGCCTGCATTGGAACTTCCGCCGGTGTAGACGCTCTCCGGATAATATTGCGGATAGTAGTCACCGCGATTGGAGCCCTGGTAGCCACCTCGATTGGTGCCCTGGTAGCCACGCTGCTCGCCGGAGAAGTTCGGATTCCACTGGGATTTGGGATCGTATGGTTTGCGGCTCTTGTGCTTTGGGTCGCTGCCACCACGACCCTTGTAGATGGGAACACTAGCGTCCTCTGTTTTCGGCAGATTGGGGATAACAAATCAATATCAAAATTTATGAAAATCAATTAGTATGAATGGCTTATATAATTTATATAATTCATCCGAACTTCAAACTTATTTTTACAAACGAAATGAAGCTTAAATTTTATTTTTGCACCATTTTATTTAAATTATATTTTGAAATATTTTTATTTATTTAATAATTGTCTTGATTTTCTTTTTAAATAATTATTTCTATTCACCCTTTGCAGTTTTTTGGTGGGTATAAGGTTTTAGAAGTAATTTCTCGTAACACATTTAATTCCCAATTGTTTGACCCATTGTTTATTTTGTTGCCAGAGAAAAAGTGAAATCAAATAAATGGTATACTAACCCTTGTCGCCTTGCTGCTGAGCGGAACTGGTCTCGTTTCCATCCGGATCGGAGGTTATCTCGAACGTGATGTCCGTGTGGATACCCACACGCTTCTTGTGCTTGCCCAAATCCGTAATTTCCACGCTCTCCTTGGACTCTTTATTTATTTTTTGTATTTCATTCAGCGCCGAAGGGAATTGAGTTTGTTAGTATTGGTTTTTGTTTTGGTGTTTTGCATTTCGCAGCTGGGGTGTGAGGGAATTTAATTACCTTTCGTTTGCTGCTGTCCATCGCCCGTATCGACGGTGACCCGAACACCGTGGATCTTGGGTCGATTTCCCCCGCTGCTCGTTCCCCCTCCGGAATTACTAGAACCTCCTCCTCCTCCTCCGCCTTGTCCGCTTAAACTTCGCCCAGTTCCTGGGTCGTAGCTGCCAGTCATCCCAGTTCCGCCCACCTGTCCCTGTCCCTGTCCCTGTCCCGACTGGCCGGGTAATCCGGTCTGATTGTTGACGCCATCGCTCTCATCGAAGTCCAACTTGGAGGACACTTTACTCGCCTGACCTGGTTGCCAACGTTGTTTGTTTTCCGGTTTAGCATGGAAATTAGATTTACCAGAAATTTAATTAAAGTTATGCAAACACTTCGAACACCGCCACTCCATACCCCATACCCCATTCCCAATCCGGACTTAAATCGGACGAATTGGAGCGTGAGCGAATCGGTGGGTCCATATAAGTGGATGCAATTAGCACACGCTGACTTATTTATGGATATGCACCGCTCGGCGGCGATTCAACCAACTGAACTAATCTGAAGCTTGAGCTTCTACTGACCGATTTGAGGTTGCACTTGAATATGCACAGCCTCAGCCACAATTATGGGATTAGTCGCAATCAGAATGGGATTTCGCTGGGGGAGTGACTACCAATTAGGGAGGCAAAGGATCGACCTCGCTATGCCCAGATTCTAGTGCTTGCAATCACTGCGGATTGTTCAGTTAATTCTGCGGTAAGCCCATCATTGATTGGCATAGTTTTGGGGTAAAATATGATTTTATTTAATTTAAATAGATAAGCCCTTGGATTTGCAAGGGGAATTACTTGGGTTTTAATTTTAATTAACTCCTTATTGACAACTTGAAAAGTAAATTGAAGTTTTTCAATCTCTAATGCTTTTCAATTATAGTTTTCTAAAATTTTAAAAGACTAGAAATTGATTAACTTTTTATTTATGTCTTCAAAAGTGTTCAAGTAATTTTATGAAACATTAGCAATCCTTTTTTTAATTCTATTATGTTTAAGATGATTTTCACTACGATTTAAGAGTGGATTTAGAAGTTAGAAGTTTTGTGATTAATTTATAAATTTTTTGGAATTGTCAAAGTAAAATAACAATGCCCTCGCCCATAAGCTTATCTCCTTCGATCTGATTAGATTGCTTAATACTGTATAGTAGTTCCCCCATTACTGGAATTTCCCTTCAAATGAGTGACACGAAACCTCATCTAATTCCAGCTGACTCATGGAGGAACTTCTTTCTTTCGCCGCGTGATTGATTGTCGACCAATAACTCTGAACAACCTTGGACACAGTGATGAGTTAGCAGCAGGCCACCAAAAAATAAAAACACAAGGTGGGCGGTGAAAGATCTTGTTGTTGACAGCATTTTGCCGTGGAACACAAAAACCAAGTACTCTAATGGGTATTTCCTTAGGAGTTTCTCAAACAGATCTCGAGAATGGAGCGCGTCTCGTGTGCGCACTTGAAAACCGCCGACTAACAACTAAGCCAGGCAAAACGACCAAGCTGATTTCGAATATCTACGGAGATTCATTAAAATTAACTGGCAAAGCTGGAGAGTAGAAAAAAGTTGCTTTTGTTTTTAATGCTACTTAAGTTAGTAATACTGTGGATGTTTTTGCACAGTAAAAAAATGTGTAACGAATTTTTAATTAATTACGTATATTCTATTTTTTTTTATATTGATTAATGAAGTTTTTTTTGGCTAGACAAAAGTTAATTTATTTAGCTTTGATGGTTCTAATGAAATCATAATCATTTTATGGAATACCGATAGAGTCAATATCAATGTATCATTCTGAACATCTTAAATTTGGTTATTTTAAAATATTAGAATTCAGACTAGGGCTACAATACCTTGAAGTCTTTTATAAGGTTTGATTATCATTTATGTAAACTTTTAAAGAATATCTTAGATATCTTAAAGAATCATATTTTGTTAAAAGTTTTATGCATTGTATGGAAAAAGAATTTTAATCGGAAGTAGTTTCTTTCAAACTTTTTTCATTTCAAAATGAATTTTAAATGTTTTGAATATCTATTTCAGATACAATACCTTAAAGACATTTATAGGGTTAGGCTTTCAGTTATTGTGAACAAACAAATTTCATTCTGCGGAAGTTTCTTAAAAACTTTTGGAATTTTTTAAATAAAAGGTTATACCTATATTAAAATTTTTAAATATTTTCTCTTAGTGTGCTTCTGTTGTTGACGGCTTGTTAGAGCTTTGCGGATAAGATCTTGAAGTGAGTTGTTGCTGCTGCTGTTGTTTGAGATGCATTCGTGGGCGGGGTCTATTGCACCTGAGCGTTATGCGTAGATCAGGGCCCCGTACCCCCGTTCCAGTAATTGGACCTAATCGACTGGCTAGCATCTTTTGTGATTGTTTCGATGTGGTTTCCGTTGTATCTTGGAGATTCCATTGTATCGAGCTCGTCACATTTTTTGTTTTGTGTTCTCCATTCTGTGTTTTGTTTTGGGCTTTTTCATAATGCTCTCATCGTTAATCATGGGACGTCGAGCGCTTCTCTATGGCCAGTTGGCAATTATATTCTGCGGCAATTTTGACAGCCCAGCCACCAAGCGATTATCGTCATTAGCCCGACGAAAAACTCGAATACGAAGTTCAACGCATCTCAAGTTCAAGTTGGCTCTGAAAATAAATTGCGTTCTATTCGAAGGTTTATTTTGGGGACTTTCTTATTGGTATCTTGGGCTGCATTGTTTTTCCTCCCCTAAGCCTAATAGTGGTGCACTAATGAAGCATTTTCTCATTTGTCAGGAAACGCCCCCGAATCAACCACTTGCTTGAGAAGGCGAAATTGCATTAGATGGATCTAGATCTCCCCATAACCGCACATGTTGGAATAATAATGTCGGGCCAAACAAATGTATAAGCCATAAATTCCACCCCCGCATCATCGCACTGGAGTTGGTCCCCGGCAATTAATTAGCAATTGCATTTGGCGCTGTCATTACGTGTGATAATTAAAAGGACGCCCTTTGGCTGGCCAAAGAAAACGAAAGAAAGAATGAAATCCTGCAAATGTATTGCCATAAATTGTATGCCCTTTTGGGCCCGGCCAACAGATCCTGGCCCGTCTGCAAATGCACTTTAATCTCGAATTTATCAAGCGTAATAGTTTTGCCCCTCACTGCTGCTGTTGGGTCGCTCGAGCAGGCTTTTGTAATCTCGGGGATTAGACGGGCATACATGTGGACACGTGGGGCAGGGCACATATCAAGTAAAAGTGGGTGGGTTCGGACAATGGGCTGTCCCGAAACCATTAAACAGATGGATTTCGTTGTCAACCTTTTTATTGCAAGGTATAAGGTATGAGTGGTCTAGAATCTCAAGATATTCTGGGGTATATTGCCGTTAAAGACAATGCCTTATTACAATTTAATAATCCCGTCATGTTCTAATTCTACTCCATACAGAGACAATTTTAATAATACTTTAATAATGGATTTTAAAAATGTAAATTAAATGCTTAGCCAAAATCTTGACTTTAGTAAAACAGAAAAAATTAAAAGAATCTGTTTATTTTGTTAATAACATGTTACAACAAAATTTTCTCATTGGCAATATAGTAATTCATTTATAATTTGTATATCAATTATGTCGTATTTTAATACATTTTATGATTTAAATATTTTGTGGCAACGTACAAATTACAAAGTAATGTTTAATATATACATGTATATTTTAATAAACTATAAACAAATAATAAGTGCAATATTAAAAGTTTTAAATATTTGAACAGCCTTAAGTGATCAATTCTTCAGTTACTTTTAAGTTTAATTTGGGAAACAATGGTAATGTTTTTTTGAACGGTCCGCTACGGAAGTAAGCTAAAAGGTAACTAGTTGCCCTTATCTTTTTTTCTCAGCCCTCTGACTGGTTTAATTCAGTGCTTGTTGACTTCATCTCGGTGGGTCCAATCCGGGCCAGAATCAGTTCCCGATTTGGACTCTGCTCTCGACCACTTCTGACTGACAGCTTCTTGCCAATGCTACTGCTGCTGCTGCTGCCGTTGTGCGTTGTTGTGTGTTGGCCGGCGATTTGCATAAAGTTTTGCATTTGCTTACATCAACTTAATTCTCATTGTTTCTATGCATTTGTGCTGCACTGGACGGACGGCGGAGAAGTTCAAGTGCGTTTCCAGCGAGTTGCTTGCATAATTCTATGGGCACTTCAAGACCAGAAAAAGTTTTTAAACTCAAATATCTGTTAGGGAGTGGGGCTTCGAAACCCATTTGGACAAAGGCATACTTTCGGGCTGGGCTGCGAATGGAAATTGGATTTTTGATATACTCACTTTGATAATTTTCGGGGGTATCCAAGCGTTGTTGTATGTCTGACTCGTATACAGTAGATTCTTTGTCCATAAATGTTAATTACACAAAATATATGTATAGTGGCCGACAGAAGGCCGAGCGAACACCTATCTAGCAGATGCAGATACAAAGATACAACATGTTTGCCTAACCAAAGACAATTACTATTGTTTGGGCTCCCGACAAGGACCGGACCGGTTTTGCAAACAATTAAACTGGCAAAATCAAAATCGAAATTTACTAATTTATGCGTCTAGCTGCCATTTGCAGTTTATACAATATTACAGCCATTTCTCATTCCATATCTTATTTTCCAGACCATTTCGGTGGGCCATCCTTGAACTAATGAAATAATGGGCCAGTCGAATTAAATTATGGCCGAAGCAGTCCCAAAGGATTCCAGGACTCAGGACACAGAACCCAGGACAATAACTAAATTTGCACCCACCCGGGTAGCGAAATTTTTTGATTGCATTGTTGCCGTTTGATTTGCAACCACTCGAGGAAAGGCCATCACCACCACCCATTCCATCGGCGGGCAATTCGACACCTTGCTGGAACATCACCCACCAAACAGCACCCCTCCTCATCCCCCCTGCGATCCAAGCGATCCACTTCCGCATCCGCACTTCCGACCCTCATTGACTATTCACACTCATGTATTTCTACATCGCGCAGTATTATTATTATTATTTTTTTCTCTTTTGGCTGTATATAAAATTTTTATTATTTGCTCGTTTACGGCTTTAGCATTTGCTCTTTCCCCTTCGTCTGGTTTTCCTTTCTCTGGCTGCCTGGGTTTATCGTTTCTCGTGTAGTGCGAAATTATCACAAAACGCATTGAATTTGCTTTTATTGTTGGCGGGTGTCGGCTGCCTTTGGCCGAAGTGGAAATCATTTTCCACCCCCTCTTCACTATCAGCCTCCTTCCCCTAACTCACAACATTTCCATGCACTTGGAAAATTTTTTTAAATTTAAAAGTTCTAAATAAATTTATCTGTCATTTACCTTATTTATATTTAAAACATTCCACTTTTATTTAATACAAATCTTTCTCATAGTAAAATTTAAGAGTATTCATTTATTATGTTATTTGATATATTTTGTTAAATTTTTTATTTTTTTGAGTACTTTTTTATCCTAAGTGTAGATGCAGCGGAAGCAACGGAAGCCGGCTGCCTCTGCCTTTGCCATCGTCTTATCATCTATGTGTCCTTTGTTGTGTCGCCACCGCCGCCGCTGCTCCCGATTCTCCTGGTGCTGCTGATGCGGTGGTGCTCTATCGGTGAATGGCAACCACAGTGGTTAACCTTAAATTAAAAAAAAAACATAAAAATATAACAGGAAAATTAGTGATGTATATGTGTAACAATTTTTCAACTTTTAAGCACCAGTAATTTACGATTTAAAGGGGTAAGGATGGTACAAAGCTTATGAATCAAATACGTATAAAGAATAATCAATTACAATTAAAAAAAAATTAATTCAAAAACTACTCCAAGAAATTGACATTTTTTCAGAGTCGTGACCCACTGTGCATGCAAGGATTTTTTATGGCCATCTTCCCACATCGACGTAATCTGGCAGGTTGCTTGAGTGCAAAAAAGTTGTTTTAAGGCCCTTGAAAATGGAAATGTTCGGTGCTGTTCCGAGGGCTGTCGCTACCGTTGTGGCTTGTTGACCGTCCGCTCCACCCACTCCACCCACTCTCCACCCCCAAGGCCACCCCCTCCCCAACACTTAGCTGACAATGAGCAGTGACAGGGAAAGAGGGGGCGGCGCAATAGGGTGGCACTTTGAAGACCCTCTTGCGGTTGAGCCACAAACCCCAGAACTCAGACCCCGGAAGTCTGCACGTCTGATGCATCTGTCGCATGCCGGAACTAAGCGAAAAACTTAGGAGGGTGTGTTATTTTGGGGGGGGGGGAATGTCAACTCCCGTCCCCAGGGAAAATGCAGTCGATAATGATGCATATTCGCATTGGCGATTATGATGAGTTCGATAGAGCTGCAAGCGGCACAACTACTCGACTTGACATGCATGATTTAGTGTCCCGTCTGCCAAATTCCACTTGGCCATAACAACAGTACCACCAACACCAACCCCAACCCCACGCCCTGTGACCTTCATCCTCTTTTGCTACCACTTCCATTTCGCAAATTGCAAATAAGTCAGTACAAAGTGCCCCGACCGTGTCGTGTGACAATTCTCGCAAATTATGTTTTTTTGTTGTGCTTCCCTCCAAATGACCAGGAATCTGCAGCCAGCCTAATCCGATTACACTTGGCAACAAAGTACAGACGTAGTTCTAAGACCTTCATAATTTTTACATTAAATTAATTTTATTTTCTTAATAATTAAGTTGTTTCTCAGCTTTAATTGGAACCTTTTATATTATAAAGTATTTAAAAACAACTCAAAGGAAAACACAATGTATCCGGAGTGTATATAATATATATTGTAGTCAAGCAATAATATGTGAACTAGAAATATTATTTTTTTTTATTATGGGCCATGCAAATAAAATTATTCCATTCTCAAACAAAATATATACATCTTGTTTATAAACTAAGACTTTAAAATATTTATTTGTACTATTATATGTTACATATATCCTAAAATTTTTGCGAGTTATAATAGCATTATAATTCATCATAGATGGCAGACAGTTTTACCCGATGCTCTATCTACTTATTTTCCCTATTTTTTGTTGTACAGTGTTGCTGCACCCATTTCTATTCCGATTTGCGCTGCACTTTTGGGTATCTCGCAGCCAGCATATGGCACACTTGGCTGCAGAGGATTCGAGGATTCCTGGACCTCCACTTTTTCGGGTTACAAACGGATCTGGACCCGGACTCACACACGCCCCATAATTGGATTTCGATGACTGCAAATTGGTGATAATTTCGATTCGCTTCCGGGCAGCTTCCACGAAACGCACGTTGCTCGTGAAAATGCGACCATCTGCGCCCGATACGCCAGATTCAGACTCTTTATGTCTGGTCGTGACCGGCTAAGTGCGGATTGCACAAATGGACAAACGGATTGGCGGGGCTCAGGGTCCACAATGGCTCTTTGTGTCTGGCCAAAAAGCCTCGATCACAAAAACGCGTTCTGTGGACATACATAAGCAGTCCCCCCAAAATGTGAGAGACGGAACGCTAAAGTCAAACAAAACCGCTTCTTATACTTGATAAGAACTATTATATAAGTGATTTCACTTATTCACTTCAGATTTTCTGGACAGCCTAGTGGTCTTCGCCCTGGCACTGAATTAAACTGAACTGTGAAAGTTGACAAGTTGGGCAACAGCAAGTGCCATTTGCAGATCAAGAAGGTTCGGCATTATAAGGCATCTTTAATTGTCTAATGATGAGTGATGATCTCAGTTTAATTAGTGATTTACATGGCAGTTACTCACTGGGCTTTACTTTGTTTTCAATACTTGGAACTAAAAGTGGGGATTCTCGTCTCAACCCCAATCGATAAATATTGGGGGCAGAGTGGGGAAGAGTCTGAAACCCTCATTACACTGGATTGGATGGGATTGCGCCCACGGGGCGTTGCGTGTCAATTTATGCAACTCTCCTGCAATTTCCGGGGTATTAAAGCAATTTCCAACCCACCGGCCACAGCATATACACCCGTCGACATGGGCAGGACTTAATGGGGAAGTCCTGCATGTGACTACTGCTCCCTCTACGCCAGTTTGGGTGTGATGGAAAAGCCCTTCTGGGCATTGGAGAAGCCGAGAGAGTGGGCGAATCGACGGCATCGAGGAGGGAATATTCCGGAAGCTCACCAAAAATTGATATCACATTTGGATAAGGTGCCAAGGGGCGGTAGCTCAATTGCAGGGAGGCTAGCAGTTTAAGGGAGATTATACTAGAGAAAAACAGCGAATTCTAACAGTCAATCCATCAATACATTGTAGTACTTTTAATAAACTTTATTATTATTATTATTTAGTTATTCAAAATCTAGTAGTGCTCGATATAATCCGAAAATTGGAATTAAAATATAAAATGTTTTCATAGTCTACAGATCAATAAAGCGATTTTCCTCTCAATTTTTAAACAAGGTTAGGCATCTCATTAAATTCCAATTCCGAATATAATCTTTTGAGAGGATTTAGCATCTAAATCAAAGTTTTGACGCCCTGTTGTGAACCCTTTTTGGCCACTTCAACCCCTGTCATTAAGGAGACAAGTCTCAAATCTTCCGACGCAATAAAAAATACTCTTCGAGATGTGCGTATAAAATGTCAAAACGTTTTAACAGCATTTTGAATCCGGCAGCATCACAATGAAATGGAAAACTCGCAGCAAGTAAATGCAATTTAGCCAAACGGGTGGGTCGTCAAGTGACGCTGCACCCAGGGGGACTGTTTGATTTACCGTCAACAGGAGATTGAAAAAAAGGAATTCAGAAATAGATTCAAGCGGGCCAAAAAAAAAAAAAACACGCGCCACCAAAAAGTGAATTAAGAACTTGTGTGCTGGAACGATGCGAAGTTAGCCCAACGAGGGTTGACTTCCAGATGGGGTGTGGTTTGGTTTGGCCTGGCTTGGGGGGCAAATTGAGTTGCAACACTTGGCAGGTTTTTATCTACGCACCACAATCAACCAGCCAACCAGCCAACCGCCCAACGAGCCGAGGTGGGGGTCCCAAACCCTGTCAGCAGGTCAGAGGCCATCCAAACCACCATCCCATTCCAGACTACACTCGAAAAATAACAATATCGTTCTTCTGGGAATACCCAATTATTACCAAACGATTAAGATTTTAGGCACGTCGAGTCAACTTATTTGGTTAAAGTCCAAACAATATTTTCTGATTACCATTTTTAGGGTTTGTTTATGAGTGATTGCATGTTTTACCTTTATTTTGACTTAAATGGTATGGTTTGGTGATTTTTGCATTTTGTTTTTTGAATTTTTAGATTTATTACATTTTTTTAAGGTTAAAATATATAAATATTAAATTAATACAAAATTTAAAATATCGATATTCTCTCAGGGCTAAAATCAATACAATTTCAATTATTAATATTAAGTAATAGACTACTACTACTACTAACGTTTTAGAATTCAGATCAGTAAGATTCATTCTTAGTAAAATTTTTTTAAGTCTCATCAAAAATTGCTATTTCTTAAGATAAAACTTTGCTTTTAAATAGACATAACCATATATGACGTAAATTTATATTAAATTTGTAAATTAATAAAAATATAAAATAGAGCAATATTTCAGTTTGTTTTTAAATGTATTTCAAACAATATTTTAAAGAAACAAAAAATCTCACCGTGTTGGCCAATTCGGATGAATTAAGACAGTTAAATGTGCCGAGTGTAGGCGTAGTGACCAACAGCTTGGCCAGAAACTGAACAGGAGCAACTGTTTCGTGTTGGTGCCCGTTGATAACAAGATTTGTTTTTGAAAATTTCTGGAGGGTCGTCCTTAATTACGCCGAAAAGCGCAATGAGCAATTTCGAAATGGCAAGTGAGCGCGATGGCGGAGGTCTGGAAACCACATCCACCCCAAGCAATTTAGGTAAATTAAATTTAGAGTGAGCCCATCCTTCGATTTTCCACAGAGCCGCGTGGAGTGGCGCTCAAAAGTCAAAAGTGTTCGGTTGATTTAAGCCAGAGATAAGGGTATTCGGAGAAGGAGGAGGAGGAGGAGGACAGACCCAGACAGGATAGTATAGTATAGCGATTCCACCCTCTCCCAAACATGCATCCTTAGACAAATACTGCCATCCCAGACACTCGACACTCGCTACACGGTAATTCCATTAAAAGAGCCAGAGCGAATTGAACAATTTTCACTTTATGATTTATTGTAATGAGCTTTTTATTTATGGCACGGTCTCTTCTATTGGCCAGAAACAGAAAACATAAAAATATATATTGCAGCGTCTGCTTTTGTTTGTCTTTCCCCCGAACGTTTTTTCTGCGTTTTCGAAAATTAAAAATTAATTAGGCATTTATCACTTGACTGTCTAACAGATGGCGGCATTCCTGGGGGTTTGGGGTGGCAAGTCGTTGACACAAGTACGGGGTAAGTGCAATCGAACAAGACAATTCCTTTAGGCAAAAAGGCCTACACGGAAATATAGTTAAGGTGGAAACATTTACATGAAAGTTTAAGTTGGGAATTGGGGGGTAAAATTGAGAACATGCCCATAAATTGAATATCCTATGTGTCTTCGTTATTCTCAACATATAAATTCTCTACTACATTCCTTTTAATGAAAAATTTCTCAATTTACTAAAAAAGACAAGTTGTAGGAAAAATCATAGTCATAGTTGTGAATGGCCAGTAATAACGTTTTGATAAATAAATGTATGAGAAATAAATGAGAACATGAACATCAATCAATATTGCACTTCATGTTTTTTTACACTTGGTGAAATTAGTTAAGCAGAAATAGCGTTTAAACTTTTTAAATGTAGCAAATAAAAAAAAATAATATGTAGTCATAAAAATGAATGGTTTTTCAACTGTTTACCATGCCAAATTAGTGCAAAAATTTGGCTTTTACTTATCCCCGATTTGAAGGTTCACAAACTTCAATTTAGCAGCTTAAACTCTATCGCGAATGTTCGTTAACTGAAACGTTAACTGAAGAATGGCGAACTGGAAAGCGGAAATCACAGGATTATCGGGGCACAGGAGCTTCGCATCTGGGGAAGACGCTGCTCTCGTAGGTGGGAACCATGTACTTGATGTTGATGAAGGCATTGGGACCTCCGCAGTACTCCAGCAACTTTAGGGTGTCCTCGATGACGTCACCGATGCGACAGTTACGATCCGGATCGATTCCCTCGCCCAGATTCACGTTGATGTTCTTGTAAAGGTTGCAAACGGCCAGCAATTGGCGGTAAAAGGGCACCAGAGCCTGACCCACACAGGGACCTGAGGATTTGATTAAAATATTTAGTGGTTTTTATCCTAATTATCAGTCATGCCAAATATAATTTTTCTAACTGAGTGAACACCATACACTAAAACTCGAAAATGCTTTCTTCTGCCATTTAAAAGAAAAAATTATGGGTACTTAAATAACTATAGTTAAAGTTGTTCCAGAGTACAGAAATTCATATTAAAATTCTTAACCACACAGAGTTTTCATGCAATAATCTTAATCTTATGATTAACAACTTAGATCCTAAGACTAAGAAGTCTAATCACTCACCCAATCGGACCATCAGCTGAATGACTTGAAGGGCGGAGATGATAATCCGCTTGTCTCGGGTCTGAAAGGCCCTTTTCAGTGGCAGGATCAACTTGGGGAGCACTGGGAGCACCTTTTTGGGGGCCCTCATGATGAGATCGATGGCCCCATTGACGGCCAGCAACCGAGTGTCGTAGTCCATGTCCGCCAGTCCGTCCACGAAGATGGGCAAGTAGTAGCAGTAGTCGAGATTCTCCGGCACACAGTGCCACTTCACCGGTCGCTCCTTGGTGGGATCCTGTTTGCTGCTCCGGCCGGACATCACGCACGGAATGTCCCCGCGATTGAAATAGATTTTGAAGACGGTCTCCTTCACGGGCTTCCGTTTGAAAATGTCAATCCTGTGGATCAAAGGTTGAAATTAATAATTTTTCACTTAATTCTGTAGGTTATTTCAATTTACTTTGGAGGTGGCTTTACCACCGTGTTGGGCTGCAGTGCCTGAAAGGTAAAGGCAGGGACTTCTCGTACGGGCTGAAAATTAGATAAATAAACCTCAATATATATTTTAAATATTTTTTAAAAAAAGATTAATTGTGTAATAACTTTATATATGAAGGGACTATGTCAAACCTTAATATTTCGATCAAAAGTTATATATATATTATTGTAATTATTAACTTACCACCTTTGATCTGAGATACAGTAGTTCCCGGCAAACCCTTCCCGGTTCATGGAGTCGCGTAGCACGTTCATTGGTTTTGGAACACATAGTCAGTAGAACTAAAACCACTTACAACTGGAAAATAAAGGTAGAAAACTAATATGTGTGCCCAAGCTTCGAAGCATTCAATGGTAAATATGTCTCGTAGACTAGATTTTTTGATATTGTTGTAGAAAATATTCACGGATGTTTTTTGAATGGGCTACTGGATAAAAATGCCAATCAAAGCATATACCAATTTTGGAAAATCGAAAGTGGGCTGACAGTACGGACCCAGTTTGCTCATAGCCAAATTGTAAAAAAAAAAGAAAGAAATAAAGTGTAAATAAATTACACGTATATGTTGGTAAATATTTATAGACATTCTTATCAAGACGTCAACAGACGCCCCCCATCCGTGAAACCGAATAATTTTGGGGTGCCGTCACCCCTCGCACTTTCACACCTAAAAGTGTTTGGCATCTCTAAATAGTCATAAAGGGAAAGTGCAAACATTTGCGCACTTTATCATCTTTTCCCATTTCCCATTTCCCAACCAACCTCCACTTTTTGAGCGGTAAATGTTACGGTAAATATTTTGTAACGCCCGCCAATTAAGGCGTCTACAGTGGAGCCCCCACTTCCAGTTTTAAAACCCCCCAACCCCACGGCAGTAACCTACTTAAAACGGTGGAAAAACGGGACCCAGATACCCAAGTCGACCTATCTCCATCGCGCTCCTTGTTGCTGGTGCCCTGAATTAATTAAAATCCGACATGCGAATTACTTGACTGTCCTTATCCGACTCTGTTCTCCAGCTTTCCGTCTTTGGCTTTTGCAGCTCCTGTTTTTAATTACCCACGCACAGCTTTTCACTTTCGCCCAACACATCGTTGCACGTCGCGATTTATCCGTTTTAATAATGTCGAGATCCCTTTTCACTCCACCCCAACTTTGCCTAGATTTGCCTTGGCTTAGCTTCTGTCGCTTTCTGGCATGTAAATTGAGTTAAAGGCATTTAGGATTATGGAGCATAAGGACAGGCCTCCGACTTCCTCGCTAATTGCTTAGCATTTCTCCATGGAATTATGATGGGTCCAACGGGAGGAATTAGCAAATGTGAGGAAATAGTTGGGGATTATCAAATAGAATGCATCTTAATAAACGCGGCACTAGTATATTACTCCCCTGAAAATCTTTCAAAGAAGTCTTCTTGACAAATTTTCAAAAATAACTGACTAACTATAACTATTTTATTTAGTTTTGTAAGTAGCAACATAGAGACAACACTATTTTTAGCTTTAAATATATATTTTTTAATTTAGTTTAATTTCAAAATATTGTAAAAAGTACGTCGAACTTTCATTTTCTAAATTTCCCCTAGAAGTCATAAGTATCTTTTGAAAAATATAAAAAATATAATTAAAATATAGGTGGTGAAAGGTTTTAATGCGCTTATAATCAGAGCTCCCAATAAGTGTCAGAAAAAGATCAGTAACCTCAGGTTACTTAGGTTAGGTTAGGATGCAAAATTAAATCGTTTTTTGATTGCTTTGAATGGCAAGAGTTTGACTAGTTTAATTTATCCTAAAATAACTCAAAATGCAATGAAAATCTGTTCCTTAGCCAGGCTTTGTTGAACTTCCCCTCTCAGTTCGATTTCATACGATATCCGCTGATCAGCCGCAAAGTAGGCAATTTATCAATTGCTAAATAATTAATAAATTTTACCCATTAGGCGACCACTGAATGGAAAATCGAAACAAAAGACACCGTTGGCCAGACGACAGCTCGCAAATTCGCACTGGAAGCGAGGGCCTTTACAATGGCCACAACGCAAATCAGCCGGATCATAATTTATTGGACCCAAAATGGGAAGTATTTCACGCAGAGCTATGGGGCACACAAAGTGGACAAAAGGCCGGGGGGTTTTTAAAAGGGGTTTTAGGTGAGGTGAACCGTCGGTTAGGTGAGTCCGTGGGTTTGGGGTACGTTTGCCTAGCTGACACTTTCATTAACAAAAAGTCAGAGCGATGACAACGGGCATCAGAGAGGGTGTGTGTGTGTGTGTGTGTGTGTGTGTGTGTGTGCTTTGAAGGGGTTGAGGGGGTGGACCTGTCTGGTTGTTTTTGCATTGTTACAAAGTGCAATTCTGGGTGGGGGAAATGGGGGGGACTTGTGGGTGGCGATGGCCATTCAGCTGACATGGCTGCAGTGCGGCACGTAAATCTAAACAGCCACTGACAGCTTTCAACTGGCACTCACTCCCACTTTTTATGTGCTGCTCGAAAATGGACAATTGGGGGGAGCGCAGAAGGGAGTGGAGGGGGGAGTGGAGAGGGGAGAGGGGAGTGGTGCCCAAGCCCATCTTGAATGTCATATAAGCCATATACATATATATCAATATCCTGGCCATATATCAATATGCACGCGCTCACATATATCTACTTTCGTTGGCTTGTTTGTCTGAAATTGACATCGCCTGTATGCTGTTTTCAGCCATGCCCATCCCATGCCCTCCATCCCGAACATGGCCAACAGGGTTTTAGCCTTTTGTTTTGGCCCGATCTACCGTCTATACTGCTATACTCCTACGGTCCGGCCGAGATTTTATGTTCGCATACATTTTGAGCGCTTTATTGTTTGTCCAATTTCGTGCAACATGGCCTGGTCAGAACGACAGGGAGAGTAATCGAGTATCCGTTGTCTGTCTCGTGTCAGGAATAAAGAGCTTCAGCTACAGCTCCTTCCCGCTGGCCGTTAGGTGTTAATCTAATAACTGTCAAATGCAGGATGTTGGTACTTCAGATTGGTAGCAAAATTGCTGCTAACTCGCTTCAAGTGGCGAATAAATTGCATCGAAAGGAGATCAGCGATAAAATGGGAAAACTAAAAAGGATTAGGGTATAGCAAAAATAATGGGTATATTAAAGGTGCTTATAAAATGTAGTACAACAAGAAAATGAACAATAAATAGTTTTCTATTTAAGCTCACTGCAGTAACTGAAAAATATACCGACAAAATATAAAGAAAAACAGTCAATAACTGGGGAAATTGTATATTTCAGCAAAGCAGCTACACATTAAAACAGTGTTTTGGTACTTAAAGTATTTGTCTGCCATTTCTTTTCTTTTGCAACCATTCAGAGTTCAAACTTCAATTCCAATTCCAACTTATAATGCCTTTCACTGTGTTTATTTGGCTCAATTGCGCTTCTGGCAGCCTAAGAATTATTTCTGCATCGCCAAAATCCCATAAAAATCAACAACTTTGAGACGGGGTCCATATGAGCATCTAACTGCTGACTGCTGACTGCAGGCCGGGTCACAAGAGCAGTCAAGCATAAAAATGGCCACCACCGAAGGCAAAGGGTCAGAGATTCTACTATAGTTCCAGCACATTCACATCCACATCCAAATCCACATCCACATCCCATGCAGACAGATAAAAGTCGCGCTCTGTACTCTAACATTTTTATGAGTCGTAAATCGAAGCGATAAAAATCACAAGAAATGGAGATACAAAAACAAACAAGCCTGCGAACCGAGTGAGAGGTCAGTCCGGAGTGTCTAGACCGGACTGGGTTAGACTTTCGGCCCCATCCTATCTCTCACAAGTCACACGATAAATTCTGCAACATTGCGCTAATGACAACAATGCACTTGCAAAAAAGTATATATATATATCTTAAGCTAAAACAATACAAATGTATATCCTAAATAAATATTCAAGTAATTGGTTTATGTTAACAAATTGAAAAATAATTTATATGTAAAGTGTTTTACTATTTAGTTTAGTATGATAAAGGAAACAATATATATATTATATGTCAAAATTAATCCACAACTTGTGAAAGAAAAATATACAAATTTCTAATTTCCCAGTTTTATGTATACCTTGAGAATTCCATTTCTATTAAATAAATAATTTATTTCATTTAATTTAAGGTGAAAAACTACACGTTTTATAAAATAAGTAAATATCAGCTTTGCATTGTTCGTTAAAAATAAAATAAATATGGCGGATTGTTGGGTTGCAATGGAAGCACCCATATACTAACAGCTTTTGGTTTAAGAACACCCCCCAAAATAATGAGGAAAATGTTTTCCGAGTGCATTCGCCCAGATCAACAGAAGTCGCCCTGCATTCTGGAAGCGGCGGAAGTTCATTATTGTCAGTGATTAATGACAAGAAGCGCGGATGGATTCCGGGACGTGGATATGGCCACTGGCTCTGTGCATTTGACTCTCTGCCTGGGCCCCATAAGTTAGCTGTTGCTGTCAGCTGGCCCGAACCCGAACCCAAACCCGAACTCGAAACCGCCTGGCTGGAAACAAAAAAAAAATGGGAAGCCAGGACTCGCAGAGCCTGAGGCTGGCCAGAAAAAGTAGAGACCACAGGACTAGGAAGGATGGGGACGAACTGTTGACATCACTCCGTCCGTCAGTTAGCTGGAAAATGCATTGCTATTGCTGCCAGCTGCCAACATGATTAGCGCGTTGATTTGGCAACCGATTGCAGTGCGTTCGAGCCAGCATTTCAGCCATCCTCAACAGAGTTTGACTTGCCAACTTCGCTGCTCCGCCAATGCCAATCCGGCATTTATCCCCCATCCTCCTGGAATGTCCTTAAACTTATGCAGTGCTAAGCGGCATTGACAACGGCACGCACACATCGTTTGGCAAAGACAGGGACTTCGGTGGGAGAAATGCGTATCGGGGACTTTGGGCCGCCCTTCTGATGGTTCAATGTACGACAAGTGAAATTAATTTCAAACAATGCAGCAAACTCCGAAAACAACAAAGTTGGAGAGGCTAAAACCCCACGACAGCAGAAGCAAATTAAATAAAAATTCCAACATGAACGTTACCGGGGAGAGAGTTGAACTTCACTGAAAAAAAAGAGTTTTAATAAAATATATAGAAAATCCTAACATTGTTCTTCTTGTCTTGAATAATTTTTGCAATTCTCTTTATAAATTGCGTTTAGCGAATTTAGCTAAACATGTTTAAATTGATGATTTAATTAGTATTTTCAAAAAGACTTAAATTTTCTTTTAACTTGTAAGCATATTTAATCAAATTACTTTTAATTTGAACTTATTACAAATTAACCTTAAGGTAATTATCATAATCATAAATTATTTTAATTATTGTATTAAAGATTTTTATTCAACAAAAAGTTTTTACTTTCATTTTGAATTTGAATTAAACATTCAACTTAAACTTTTTGTCGCCAGCTTTAAGTTAATGATTTTTAACATTTCTGGCAATGATTATATTATAAGTTGTACTTTTTTTGTAAGTGTTATTCTAGCATCCTGATGAGGAGCCTCAGGAGCACTGTCTATTGCCATATGACAGACTCAATCTACGTGCCTCGAGTCGATGAGTAAGCCAAGTTAAGGGCAAGCAAAAAAAAAAACGAAGTAGAGGCAAACCAAACTTGTCGAAAATTATTTCGTTTTAATTATGCCAAAGGGCGTTGTCAAAGGACGTGTCGAAATGTGTCGCCGTTTGGGATGCACTCTAAATGAAATCACGTCACCGATTTGCCCCGCCCATAAAGCAACGCCCACACTCCGACCAAAATCCCGACACTTCAGGTTGCCTACTACAACTTTTCCGTTGTCATTATCAATTTGAGTTAATTGCCGCAGCCATTCTGGCCAGAATGTTGCCATTTTGCAGCTGGATGGCAGCAGCGCAGCCATTGCTGTTGTGCTGTCGTCACTTCCGGTCTGGGAAACCCCCTTCCCCTTCCCCTTCCGTGTTCCTTTTCCACCTCCAGACGACGCGACGACGCATTGTCTGTGACTGTTTGAAAGCGTTTAGTCGAAATTTATTTGTATTACATGTACATGCCAAAAACTGCAGACACTTTCATGGCTGCGGGGAATGAGCCGTGGCGCAATGTTGAGTTATTAAATTAAGTACTTGTTTGATTACGGTTTATATTGCCTCGAACAGCGGAAACAAGTTTAAGCAAGCAAAGTGCCTACGGGAATTTATTGCAGCAGGTGCCTTATCAGTAAGTGCTAGTACTAGTACTTGTATTAATACTATTTCAAAAAATAATATATATTTAAATGTACTGACTTACAAAAACAACCTTACTCATTCAAAATAAAAAAGTGCGTTCTTATCTGTTTAATATTTAACTATTTTATAAAACAGTCATTAAGTGGACACTGATCTTCGCTTCGCTTTATAATCTTGTTTGCTTATATAATAACTATAAATAAAAATGGAATGTGCTAATAGCAATATATAATAGTTCTTTGTTCTTTCATGAGTGTTAATCTTTGAATCTAGACGTAACGTGTAATCATCTTAAGTATGTATGTTTTATGTTGAACAACAAGTAAACAATGCAGAGTTCAATAAAATACAGATAAAAAATGAATAATTTTTATGAAAAAAATAAAAAAAAAAGGAAACGGAAAAAAGCTATTAATATACAAAAAAACAACTTCTATGAGTAACCAAACAACAAATAATTAATCAGCTTTCAGTTTATTTTTAAAATGCATTTGACCTAGACCTATATATTCTGTTCGTAACTCAAAACAGAACTTTACCTATGAATTTGATAATTTTTTTTTTATTGTTTTAATGCTTTTAAAAGTTTAACTCTAAAAGAGCATGGAAGAGAAGTAATTTTAAAAGAGAGGATAAATTTTAAAAATGTATAATTCTAACTATCAGTTCAGTTCGCAGACAAATGCTATTCTTCTGTCACATTTTTCGACACCCATCACCAGCTCCTCCCCCGTAAACTCCAAATAGACACAGAAGCCATTCGCAAACTTGCGAGGCGGTGGCTCCGTGGCCACAAAATTGGTGAAGTTCATCGGATGGGGATCTTGGTGCCAGTAGAAGTCGACCAAGGTTCCATGATCGACATCCTTCGGATCCGACAATCTTCCCCGATGTCCACCGCTCCAGAAAATTGAATGGGTCTGGGCGTGGGCCCCATATCGCATAAAGTCGGATATGAGTCGCATTTCCTGAAAACTGCGAACAGTCACCAGCCGAGACTGCGGGTCAATCATCTCACATGCGAAGTTCGCGTGCATCCAGTCCATCTGAAATGGGTCCCACAATAAAAACCGATAAATACTGCACACAGAGAACATTAAATAACAAAAACGTTTGGAGAATTTAAAATTTTGTGAAATCATATGTAGTTAAACATTTACTGGCCTTGATTAAGTACTTAAAAACCAAACAAAAGCTGTTAGCATTTGTGTTATAACATTTTCTTATTAAATTTAAAACATAATTTTTAATTACAAGTAAATCTAATTTGTTTTTGTTATTTCTGTGAATTTACTTACTATTACAGGAACGCTGAGTTCACGATCCTTATAGACCATTCTGTAGTATTCATAGGAGGGCTGCAACGAAAGTATGAAAAAAGCAAGGCACTTAAATCTCATTTCTTACATACCGCCTTGTTGGAGGAAAAGAAGTAACAGCGTTCTCCAATCTTCACAAAAGGTTTAGAGCAGAGAGCTAATTTATTGGGTGCATACAAATTATCTTTAGTTTTGGAAAAAACTCCTTTCAAGCTCACGTTGCCAGCTGTCCTTAAAGATATAAATGTATCCGGCCGTGAGGAGCAGTAGGCCCGTTAGACCCACGAAGGATTTGTCCAGCGTGGTCATTTTCACCAGTGGCTCTCGAGGAACTAAAGCTTCACGACTGCTGTTTTCTTGATTTATAGGCTCGAAGGGAAACATAAATTTCTAAGAAGAAATTTAAGACTAAACATTTGGCGACTTACCCGGGTATTCAGTTTGAAAAATTACTTGGTATTGTACTAACAGACTTTTCCTAAAGTCTAAAGTATACAGATTGTATTGCTGCCATAGAAACCAACTTAATGTTTATATAAAAATCTGAGAAAAACAGTTTTTAATAAATTATGATGTTTATTTTTGTAAATTTATAAATATAAATAAAAATATTCTTTTTTATCTTTCTTTTTATTTGATCCATAACAAATACTTCATAGCTAGGAAAATACAATGGAATATATTTAAACACCAATTTAATTTAATTAAATTTTTTTATAAGGGCGTGTAAACTTCGTCCTTCTGGATTAAGTTACTTTTCTGTTTTTTTTATTATTTTAACCATTAAAATGGTTTTTATATATTATAAAAATTAATTTATATCACACAAATTGTTGTACTTATTTGATATCAAAATGTGATATCTTTTAATTTTAGAAAAAACATTTAACTAAAATTTCAATTTTAAAATTTCATTGAACAGTTGTAGTTCTACTTTGGTATTAATTAGATAATTTTTAATTGTTTGATTTCCAATTTGATTTGTTTCACATTGAGTTAAACACTTAGCGACATGAGTTTAACCTTATCCGCTGCTTGTTGCCCTGAGAAATTAGGCACTTTCCATTTGTAGATAAGCCATAATATCCAGAAGCTTAAAATAAACATAACTACGACTATGATACCTCTGGTCTTGGGTTCCAGGGAAAGCCAAAGTACCCCAATGGAAAGTTTGTATTCGCAGATATAGTAGTCGTCGTGGCCGAAAGCTGGTCGCATGTACAGCGAGGAATTGGCCAGTTCCAGACTGAGATAGCTTCTCACCTCCTCTTGTCGAGTGCCAGGCAGCCAATTGGTGAAGGTCAGCGGCTCATCCACTCCCTCCCACGAATAGGGTATCGCGCTGTTGAAACTATGGCCCGAGGTGGCGAAAGTGCTGCCATCGGGAAAGCCCCTCGACACGATATATTGCTCCAGGCTCCTCAGCTCCTCCCTCGTCTCCAAGGACACCAGTGTTGACGTTCTGCGCCAGCAATCCTGTCTCGCGATGAACCAGTCAAAGTAATGACCCGCCTGAAGTGAATTTCAAAGAAATATTTTATTTACTTTGAGCAAAAGTCCCCTGAAGTGTATATTTATTTGTAATTTAAAATTAATAAATTCGCGATGAACTAGAAATAAATATCGAGTCAATATGGAATAATCTAAATAACAATAACTCAAGAGTCAGCTAAGTTTATATAATATTCTGAGAAGATTACGTAATTTATTGAAACTTTTTAAAATTTAATATTGTATAAAACGAACAAAACTCTGATAAGAGTGAAATAGTTTTTTGTTTAGGAGCTTTTACAATTAGTTTATTGAAATATTTTTACAATTGACAGATATGTTTGTTTTTAGAAATATTAACCTTTACCTTATTTAACTGATAAGCAACTGAACACATTATTTCGGAAAATAAAAGTAGTTTTGCAATTCCAAGGGCTATTCTTATATAAATAATAAATTTTAATTATTTTTTTTTTCGCTTTTACGTAAACCACATAATTAGACTAATTTCTGTTTTGATCGTAACTCACAGTCTTTTCATTGCCGATATAGTAATAGCCATTGCCGATCCGATCGAACAAAGGCTCACTTCGACAACCATAAGCCCACACAAAAAGAGCGAAAAATAATTCTCTTCGCATTTTAAAATGTTGTTCAGATGGCAACGCAAAACCTACTAAAGTGCCTCGCAAAACTGATGTTTACAATGACCAGTACTCTGAATTATCGGCTACAAAAAGTGATTGCAACCGCAGTTGATATGTACATATAAAAACTTATATATTATTTGTACAGTACTTTATTTTTTAATTCCCTTGCAGAGGGTATTAGAATTTGGTCAGAATTTAAGTAAAGGAGACGTTTCGGAACCTGTAATATATATTATATATATTTTTGATTGGCATCATTATGAGAGTTTATACATTTATTTATTTATTATTATTATTATTCGGAATGACTGCAAGGGTATGTGTAACGTTATCAATTTTTTTTTATTGCAATCTCTAACGTTGGTGCACAGTTACGAGTTAACAACCCCTTATTGATAACAATTGTCAAGTTGTGTTCTAATGAAAAGTTTATTGCATTTCGAAAAGTAAGTCGAAAGCCACCACCGCAGTCAGTGCGGCTAGCTGCGATATCAGTAACACAATATCCACCAGCTTAAGTATTAAGGTTACCCTTTCGAATTACAATATATATTTTTATATTATTTTAGAACCTCTTTTTGAAAATAAAAAAACAGAAAAATTCGAGATATAGTATGTAGGTACATTTGTAGACATGTTGAGGAATATCTGGCGATCAGTGCATAATGGAATGCGAATCGGTGCCATTCAGCGTCTGTTCACAGATGTCGACAGCTTGCTTATAGCAGGATTCACTGCTCATCAACAGTTCGCCTCCTTGCAGTGTGAGGATCAGGCAATTGCGGCCCATTTCGGGAGTGGGCTCGTCCGGCGCCCAGTTCGTGTAGACCAGTGGGCGGGCTCTTCCGAAGTAGTTCCAGTAGAAGCGGTTGTCCCCTGGCCACCGGTGGCCGGCACTCCAGAACTGGGTCCCATTCGGGAAGCCCATCTCGTAGAGGTGCTGGGCCAGGAACCGCATCTCCTCGTCACTATCCAGGCAGACCCGCGAGGTGCGCTTGTCCTGGTAGCAAAAGTTGTGGAACGATGTGTGCTGGGGATCAGAGTGGAGGGATATAGTCTCATGGTACAAATTGTTATGTATTTACATTTACTTCGTAACCGCTAAATAACTTGTCAGCTTTTAAAATTTTACATTTTAGTGAAGTAGTTAATCTGCATTTAAAATTAATTATGCACTTAAAATACAGTTTGTTTGGAATACATATACGCATATATCTATGCACTTATTGGCCTTTTCTGTTTTCACTTTCGGTTCAATTTGAGAATTCTATTTTTTTAAATATTTAAAAATAATTTAACTAACTAGCAAAATTTGTATACAAATTCGTTATAGATGATAAATCCATATTGCTGATCAAAACTCTAATCAAGTTAAGTAAAACGGTCGAAAATGAAATTCAGAACACCCCTGTGAAATGCTCTGTAACGAAACAACTGCTGTTAGTTAACAGAATGAGTTTAAACTCAACTCTAGAGACATAACAGAGTTCGAATTATTGTTTAAGAAACAAAACATTGATTTATAAAATATACATATGTACACATATTTTGTATAATATTACACTGTTGTTTATTTGAGCTCTGTGTCGGTTATTAGCTGCATTATTGACTCACCAGCGGTTCTTCGTTGGTTACAAAGTAGCAGTAGTTTTCCCGGACTCTTTCGTACGGAATCCGGCATCGCATTCCGTCGACTGGAATTGGCAGAAAAATGAGGCATAGGGAAAATGCCAGGATATACTGAACTAAATTGCAGCGATCTCTCTTCCGCTTCGGGCGATTCGGCATTGTGCTGAAATAAAACTGCCGGCAGTTTAAAATCACGGCGTTATCGCCATGCGCTATCGTTGTGAGCGGGGTGTTATCAGTAAAGCGCTTGTTTTGGCTTTTTTGCTTCGCTGATAAGGCCATTCGCTGAACTAGTTCAAGATCACGACCAATAAAAGCTCTACAGGTTCCAAATTATCAGTCACACTTATTGTTTTTTACAAACAGTATGAAATTCGGTTTAAAAAATAATGTATCAGAAAATTTTAAAAATTATTTCCGCTTTGGATTGGGCTACTAATCACATCCTGTTTTGGGATCCTCAAGGCTTTTAATTACTTTGAATATTATAACAAGTAATAATTCTTAATAAGTATAAAAATTTTAAATGCTGATTACATAAATAATTGCAATAAAACTAAAAATAACTTTTTAAAATACTATGCACATCGTTAAAGTTCAAGTTGTAAAAGCTTCTGTACAAATAGGGATCTTCTGGACCTAAATTGTCCTGTCTGTGGGTATGTGTGATACATTCCTTAGATATCACTATGCTAATGGGGCAAATCCTCCTTGCAACTTAGTTTGGGATCCACATCGAACATATTCACATGCAACGTATTTTTTTCCATTTTTTTTCCGCCCCCAATTTTGTTATACAGAATTTTCCCCTGATCCAAATTATCGAAATTTCTTTCTCTTTGAACATTTCGTGTGTGTATGCTGCGCCTGTTTGCACGCAACCGCCGCCAGGTGGTGTATTGCCCTTCTAGCATTTTGCTTTGATCTGCTCATTCGGTTAAGCCGATGATTGAGAGAGAGCGAGCATCATACATCGAACTCGCTTCGAACAATTAGTTGCAAATCGTCGGCTCGAGCATCCACAGATAAATGATAAATTTACGATTTCGAATGTTGGTAATTTATCTCTTTAAATTAAATTACTTTAAAATTATTTAATACAAAAAATACTGGTCTTTACGTGGTTCTCTATATAAGCTTTTAAATAAGGTAAAAGGGAAAAATTTACTATATGTTTTTAGTTAATTAAATGGTTAGAACAATTATATTGGCCGATTGAGATATAGTTCGCTTAAGTAACATTTTATTTTAAATCTTTCAAAATAAAATTAACAAGAAAAACGTGAGGCCAAAACCGGTTTAAGTATTGTAAACAACGGTCTTGTATTGCAGCTAGTTGCAATACTTGTTTGAATCGAACGTCGCCGTCGAGCGACGCGGGCAGAGAAAATGTTCGACAGGCTATATATCTATGCCTCTTCGCAAGTCTCTCTGTTCGAAAAAAAATTCCATGCCGCGAAGAAATACGTGCGTCGCTCCGTTGTGAAAACCAGTGAAAATCTGAAAGAAAAGCGTGAAAACCACTCTAAGAAATAAAAGTACGCAAATTAGTAAACAATGTGCTGAAACTAATACCGATTTGGTTGTAATTTTAACTGTAAAACAATGTTTTCGCTCTTTTTTTGGTGCTAAAACGACGCCGTCGCACTCGCGCCTTCTCTCTCTCCCACCCTCAATTTTCTACTTGCTTTTGTGCTGGTCGTTCGCCATAAGATTGTTTACGAATTGCTGTGAGTGGTAAAAGTGCAAAAGATTGGCGAAAATTACAAAAAATCCAATGGAGTCCGCAATTAAATGCCATCAAACCGCAAAAAATGTCGGGAAAATGAGCCGGAAAATGTGGTTGCTATCTCTGCTGACGCTGGCAGCACTGCAACTGCGCTCGGGCAGCGAAGTGGCGGGACATTTGAATGTTTTCCTAAATCCCGTGGAAGTGATGCGTTTACTAGGTGAGTTACCAATAATTTGTGTTGCGCCCTTTTGTTATTGATTTCTCTCCAATTAACTGACTTTCTCGGTTTCTCTTTAAAATAAACAAAATATGAATAATTTGTGCAAACTAATTAAAAAGACAGCTTTAAGTTTTCATTTCATTGAAAAAAGCGCACTTCCTTTAAGAAATTATGTTTATTTGTTTGCTTTTGGCTTAATTTAGATGCCCTCGCTCTATCGCCTCTCTTCTTGGCTCCCACCCGCACTCTCTCTCTCTCTTTCTTGCGCATGCCGCAGGTGTTGTTAAACAGTAAAACAAACAAACAAACCGCCCACAACAAAAACAACCAACTTTCGTTTGCTTCGTTAGGAAATTTTACGCTTCGTAAAAAACCAAAAAACAAAAAAAAGAAGATGAAGAAGAGGAAGCAGCAGACACGCCAAAAAATAAAGACAACAGCAAAGTCTGAAAATCTACATGCTGCATTCAATTTATCTGCATGGTGGGGAATATTTTTGAATATTTCTTGGAACTGAAATTCCTTGGCTCCCAAAAACAAAAAATGGGGATGAGAAGAGGTAGAAAGAGAAAGAGCGGGAGGAACATGCAAACGAGATGACAACGCAAAGGAGACAACAGCAGAGGCAAAAAAACAACAACGCAAACGTGACTGCGAGAAGGAGCAGAGAGAACACGAAGAGGAGCATGGGGGGGCGCAAGTGGGCGGGGCATCAGCTGTGAGGGGCGGAAGAATGCACAGTGGGGTGCATTCCATATATTGTATATATTCTACAAGCTACACAAGTGCACAGTCAAAACAAAAGTTTCAAATTCCCTGTGAGTCTGAATTCTTCGACATATAGAGACTTCGAGATTAACTGCAGTTAATCGATACCAGTAACGTTTATTAAATTACAGACAAACAATATCTTGAACTAAACTTTTTTTTTTAACCCTGTAACAACTATTGGAATTTCATGAAAAATTCCAATCTATAAGATAAAAGTTGAAATGCAAAAGTGTAACATCCCACTGTGCGCCAATTCCTTTGCTACTCGGAGGGCTCACTGTATTTTTGGCAGTATTTAGCATGACAAGTCTGCCCACTTTAGTTGAGTTTTCTGCAGCTCCAAACTTTGGCATGCAACGCGCCTTGTTAAATCGAAGTTTTCTTTATCTTTTTCTAACCATGTGTGGGAGCCGATTCGCTGACGACGATGACGATGCGCATAATTTTGCGTATGCATTTCGGATTTGCGATTTCGGGGGCGTGAAATCAAGTATGCAGAATATGCCTGAAGTCTTGTGGGCTGCACTTCCCCCAGTAAAACGTTGCAAATTGTACACACACATTTAGCTATGGGGTAATTAAGACAAAGTCGAAAAGTTTCGCAGACTTGCGTAGGATATATACGGCCATAAAGAAATGCGCAAATGCTTTGTACTCCTCACTCCGTGGGCCATAAATCAATTAAGCTGCATAATTTGCATTTGATTTGTGTGCGGAAAAAAGGGGTTTAGGTGGTGAGGAGTTGCTGGCGCGGTCTTTAGCCAAAGTTGGCGGCTTAAATAAATTTCATTTGCATTTACGCGTAATTTATAGCTGGTCGATGATCACATTTCAGTTCAGCTCCTTTTTTATTTTTTATCATCCCCGCAGGGGTCCCGGCAAAGTTCAATGCTAAAAAGTTTGAGTCATAAAGTCCCTGGCATCTGACAGTCATATGAAATACGATCCAGACAGAATGGGCTGGGCTCACGATCAAATCATCCCATCATACGTTTTCCAACTTTATTCCCATTTCGATTCCAATCATATTCCACAGAAATAACCCATCACAATGATGAGGAGCACCCAAAAAAGTTTAACGACTTTTTTCGCTGCTGTGACACGCGCTACATTTTAAATAGCCAAAAGTACATTATTTAAATTTAATTTTATTGCCTCCCTGCTACAGTTTTCGTAGTTTTCCCTCTTTCTGTACGTTTTATGGCATTTTATTGACGATTCGGAATTTTTCCAGCTTTTTATGGCCACCATTTTTGGGTGCTTTGATTTAATTTTACTGTTTCTTTTTGCCTGCTAATGAAGCGGCAATTAAAACTGAAATGGGAAAAGCAGAGATTAGAGGCTTTGCCAACGGCTTCGGCACGATTTTCACACTCTTGAACCGAAGAATGTGCTAAAATCGACACGCCCCCTCGCAAATGATCGATTGGCAGCCGCTTTGGGCCATAAATTAGCCGCTATGAAGTCGAAGACACTCGAAATATCGGGGAAAACGCAACGATGGATGTGTTAAATTTACCACCAACTGTGCTAAATGAATTGAGAGCTCGCGGGCCGAAGCGTGTTTGGCTTTTGTTTAGGCCAATTTAAATATTTTCATATTTGCCTAGGTATCGGGAAACATATTGATGGCTTTTGTTATTTGAAGTGAGCCGCGGCTAAGCGGCTTACAACGCAAACAAGCTGCCAAGGTACGAGTATCGAAGATACACACGACGCGCTACTGTGGCAACTTTTAGCACCTAACCGAAGCTAAAGCTGTTGTATCTGTCGGATGGCGGTAACAAGCCAGGCATGTATCTCGTTTACTTCTCCTGCCGGCTTGTTTTTTCTTACACATATATTTTTGTACGAGTATCTCGTCGTGGTGTTTTGTTCCCCCCCCCAAGTAGAGACATTTGTGCGCTTCTCCGGTTTATGGCTTGTTCTTGGCTGCCTTTCCAAGATCTCGCCAGCCGATAATTGTGAACGAGCAGGCCGTTTTCATCTGGTCGTGCTAAAAGCCTTCCGAGAAACGCCACCGATCCTCACAGACATTATACCCTCCGTCCCAACACCCCAACGCTCCCCTCTGCTAACGGTTTTGCGTTAGCTAGCTACTTGCTGGATATGATCAGCAGGCATGATCTATATTTTAATTGGTGTTTGGCAATTTATTGTCCAGTCTCGCCTTTCGCTGGGCTCTCCAGCCACACATAATGAAGTGGCCATTAGCTAATGAAGCTGTCCCCCTCGCGAAAGCAAAAAATGGTGAGGGAGGGGAAAGTTTATGGACCAGGTCGTGCCAGTTTTTGCTATACGATGTGCTAGCATTAACAGCTCACCTGACAGATCGTAAAAAGTGCTATCCGAAGGAGTTGACACAGCTGTCTCCGTCTGCAGATCTTATCTGTTCAATTAGTGATCGCGAAAGGGGACAATAAACTGTGTTAACCGGAAAGATCTTGATCCAGAGCAACACATCTTAAAGTTTGAAATGTATTTAGTTTCGTAACTGACCATTAATTTTTATATAGTTTAAATGCAGCGATTTTTGATTTGAGTGAAAGGCCTTTTCAATAAATTTTAAGACATCTGAGCTAGTTAAAGATTCTGATCGTAAAATAAACTTCAAGTGGACCTAATCTGTGTCTAATTTATCGGTCATGCATGTAATATCTTTTTTAAACCATAACAAAACTAATCGTTTGCATATTACTTTCAAAGCCATATTTAACAATCGTCCAATCAGGTTCTCACCTGATTTTTATCTACCAGTGTAAAACGAATCTCTGCCTTTATTAAATTTATTATCGAATTCGCCCTCAGTTTATCACGTTGTTCTGTGATCACTTCCGCACCAACTTTCCTTGGTCCACGATCATCACAGATATATATCTGTTCGTACGTGACTTATGGGCCAGTCCCAAAAGATCGTGTCTGGGCATTGGGATCAATATTTCGATTTTATTTTCAATCTATTTTTAATGCGATCAAAGATCGTGCGGCCTCGTAGGGCTATCGATTTCGAATTGATGGGCACTTGGCGGGTCATAAAGTCCCCCCAAAACCAAACAAGATCTCAATTCTCCGATTTCATTACGATTTTTTGATAGCAGAGTGTCGCATTACCCGGCGACGTGTTTGACATTGGGAACTGCGATTTGATTAGGCGCGGTTTGTGGACTACAGCACAGACATCGCCAGATGGGAGGCTCAGGGCCATTTGCATACTTATTTTATGGGTTCATATGTCTGGTGACTTTAAACCGCCATAAACTTGGCTAAGCCCGGACTTAAAGCCATTTCCATTACCATCGAAACTATGGACAAAAAACGGCATTTAAACAAATGAAAATCGCATAAACCGATTGCAGGCAATAAAAGCGACTGCAATACTTTGGCGGCAAATAAACGCTGACTGGAGTGCCAGTGGGGATCGATGCTCGTCAAAGGCTTACTGAGGGGCTGACTCCGACTGCAACTGTGGTTATCACTGGCAACTGACAACTCCGATAACCCCGCCGGGGGCTGCCAAATGCAGGGCTACGTCGAGGGGTGTGGGGCGAATGTCAATAATAAATATCAGCCATTGTTTGCCCGGCTTGTGCTCCCTTTACAATGTGTGCATACATGCATGTTCAATATGCAAGCATAGTATGGCAAAAAACGAATAATCATATTTACTTTAAACAACAACAAGCGCCATCAATGAAGCGCGTCTTTTGTCTCTGCACCGAGAGAAAACAATTAAAAAGGGGGTCAAAAGGTTATCTGTGCTTTTCTTTTATCAGTTAAACTAAAAATAAAGAGAATCAAATTAAACCAATTTATTCTTTAGGAGAATCATTAAGAGTTAACTAATTTTTAATTGGAGGATTTCTCTTTGGTTAGTTATTAAATTCATAGGTTTGAATAAAAAGTATTTTTAAGCAGCACATTTCGTTAGTTTTCAACTCTTTTTAAAACTCTACTCGTTTTCTCTGTGTGTAGTTAACGCAGCAATCGAGTTTGTTTCCATGTCACTGTGACATGTGGGCGCTGCGAAAAGGGGCGTGGCAGCTTTGGGCAACTGCAAAGATGCAGATGCAGTGCGTGCATCTGGTCTTTTGTTGTCGCTGCACTGTGTTTATTGAGTTGTTCGGTGTTTATTTGGGTTATGCGCTGTGGGAGTTTTCCGTTGCAGAAAGTTACATGGAAAGTATCGAAGGGATGGCGAATAATACCCATCGGAGTGGGCGGTGGAG